AACAATCTAATTTGCCTGCTTTCCCAATTTGGGGTATGTGGGAAGGAATGCACCACATGGCTGTCTCCATGTATGGCTTGCTGAAGTATACTTGAGATCAGACGTCCTTGTTCCACATACGTGCAGTCTGCCAGAAGGACATAAGAAACTTTCTACGTGAGTCAGCACCTAGCTTTCAATTTCTGGCAGTGATACAAAAGAGCAATTTGTGGGATGGTGTAGTAATTATCCTTCTAGACATTCAACCTGAAAACAATATGGATGTGCTCTCAACATACCTAATTTTTCTTTATGAATCCATCATAAATTATTTCCGCAAATTTTTGTAATCTTACCTGAAATAGGTTGAAATTATTTACAATGTATTATTCCCTTATGTAACTGCTATTGGAATAGGTTTCTTATGTTTAGTTCCTAGCTTTCTTTCAGTTGCTCTAAGACTGTGTCTTAAAATCTTCAGGAGCTGAACCATGAGCCCTCCTTGCAAGATTCCATCTTGTAAGGAAGTTACAATTCCCCACCCACATACTGCCAAACGTTTAGGTTTTTTTAGATGTCACAAACATATCCCTTCAGTCTTCATCTATCCATTTTGAAGATTCCTGATACTTTTAGGGTCGTTTGAACCACACCCAGTCCTGAGTATGTTTGTGTTTTACAAGTGTCAAAGCTGAGCCACAGTTGTTAAATATTTTGCTCCACCTGTGAGCAGCAAAGGAGTTTTTCAAACCCCGACACCAAGTTTGAGTCATTGTGAATTTGGTCATGTTTCGTTTTTGGAATTGTAGGCTGGCCTTCGGAGAGAAAGAATGAATGAATCAAGGAAACTGAGGCAGAAAAGGATTCCTGTTAGGAATCGTTGGCTCTGCAGGGTGATGGGAAATGTGGGAAAACTTCTAAGTGGAGTTTCCTGGGGAGAAGAGCCTTTCATCTTTTGGGGGCTGATCATTTTGTGCAGTTAAGAGGCCTACAGCAATTCTGTATTGGGGGAGGGGTGTGTGGGGTTCCTTCCCCTCTTTCCACTCCTCCTCCATCCTTGCCAAGAGTTACTGAGACCTTGCTGGGTGCCAGACTGTGCTCGTAAGCATTTGTATGGATTATCTGATATTTAATGAAAGAACCAAGAAGTACCATTTTCTACATTCATTTCTCTAATCTATCTTAGAAACTACTTTGGTTCTAGTAAATAATAAATACACAACAGCTGCTTTTATATAAATGGGCTTATGCTGTGTGCTGTCCAAGTTTCAAAATAAAATATCTGGCTAAAAGTACTCTGTGTTCAAGTGTGATACATTTTTCCCTTTAGTGAAATATTTCTACTCATTGAATAATAGCTCAGTTATTTTGAGAAAGCTTTGCTCAAACAGTTTTTCCACTTCTTGACGTGGTCCAAGGACTGAAAGTATTTGTGTTAAAGGTGGGCTTTTGTGGGAGGCATCCCCCTTCCCTGCCCCTTCACTCATTGTCATTTAGTTCAAAACTGCTTGGAAGCAAAGGGAGGGCCCTTGCTCCTAAAAGTTGTGTCTTCCAGATTGTCATTCAATCAGCAGCAATTCAATTCAATTCACATATTATATTAACGATGAATATGGGAGCATTTTGATAATTTATATGATGTGAAACAGGGCCTCTAGATGAAGGAATGGCTAAGGCCCATGAAAGCCTCAAAAAGCCCTGCTCTTGGCTTACCTTGGCACATTCTGGGCAGATGTGAAAGAGGCACCCCTTCCTGCCTCCACAGAGGGTCTTGGCCCTACTCCATCCCCATCTCATGCCACTCTGGCCCTTTGTTCTTGATGCTTTTGCCCATCCCACTAAGTATATTCTTGCCTCAGGACCTTTGCACTAACTCCTCCCTCTGCCTGAGGTAGTTCTCCAGAACTTCGAATGACTAGCCCCTTCTTGTCAAGGCTTAGCTTGATGCTATCTCCTTGAGAGAGCTGTCCAGTCCAGCTCCTTCCCAGTAACCTGATCACACTGTCCTCCAAACCAAGGTTCAGCAAGCTTTTTCTGTGAAGGGCCAGATATTAAATATTTTCAGCTTTATGAGCATCACAGTCTCTGTCACAACTACTCAGTTCAGCTGTTGTAGTCGGAAAGCAGCCATAGACTATATGTAAACCAATGGATGTGACTGTGTTTGTTTATGAACACTGAAATTTGAATTCCATATAATTTTCATATGTCATGAAATATTCTTTTGATTTTTTTAATCAGCTACTGAAAATGTAAAAACCATCCTTTGTTTGTAGGCCATACAAAAACAGGACTTGAACCAGGAGCTGCTCCCTGCTCCATACCATGATCCTGTTGTATTTTCAATGTACTGGTATCCGAAATGATCTTGTTTACTTGTTTGTTTGTTTGTTGTCTATCTTCCTGCCACACTGTGAGCTCTTTGAAGGCAGGTTCTTTGTCGTATGCACTCCATTATCTCTATCAACTAGAACAGTGCCTGGAATGTGAAGGTGATAGGATAGATAAATTGATGTATTTCCGGAGCTGCTAAATCCAACAAAGTCCTCCTTCCACATCTCTCTTATGTCTGTCTTCTTCCAGGGATACATGAAAAGTGCTGCTTGGTGGGATTGTCTGGGCCAGTGCTTTTCAAACCACTGTGCAGACACATAATTGAGGAATCTTGTTAAAATGCAGATTCCGGCCTTAGGCCTTGGGTAGGGTCTAAGATTTCACTTTTTTAACAAGCTCCCGGGTGATGCCCATGCATTGGCTCTAGGACAATTCTTTGAGTATCAAGAATCTAACAAAAGCTTAGGAAAGGAGCCTTTTCCATAGGACTTAGATATGGAAACAGGAAGTCAGCTGGCCTGCCCCTCAGAGGCCTGCCTGTATATATCATGAGAACCCCCAAGAGTCCCAGCTGGCAATAAAGACATTTCTCACGTTCTCAATGACCGAATAAATGCGTGATGATTTAAGTCTTCTTGGTGAAGAAGGAGTTGCTGAAGATAAATGACGGGTGTGTTAGGCTGCAGCTTAAAGGAAGAAGCACCTTTAAGTCCTGAGGTACTGGCAGTGAAAGTGGCTGTTGGGAAATGAAGAGTCTAATGTTTGGGCTGCTGCCTGTCATCACACATCACACATACATGCATGCACACACATACATGCATGCACTGGTGTAGGCTGGAGTGCCGTACTTTTCCCTGAAACAGCTGGATTATCTCTTCTCTCCAAGGAGACACCTCTTCTGATCCACTAGAACGTACTGTTCAGAATCTAGGTTTTGCTGGAGTGCAAGTAATGTACTTCACTGTAACAAAACTATAGGAATCATTTCTGTAATGTGTATTTCCACACACAAGAGCAAGTAGGAAAGTATTTTGCTGGTGTAATAAAGTTGCCTGTTCAAACAGTTTCTTTTTAATTATTAGCTTGGCCCTTGTATCTTTAGCTAATCAATAGCTGGCCTTTTGATGAAATTGGATGTTGTTTCCCTATGGTTTAACTTTGTGAAAACTGTAAGTTATCCAGATCAATGGTTTTAATGACACTTCCCTCATCAATAATTTTTCCCTCTGCTTTCCCTCTCTCTTATCACAGAACTGCTTGGGTGACTGACCTCTGATCTTGACACAGTGATAGCCATGGTAAGTTGTGGAGCGCCTCACCCTACCTGGTGCCAGCCGCAGACAGGTACAGGATGCTTACTTAGTGACTGTGGCGTATACAGAGGGCTGTTTGCCCAACAGAGGGGACGGAGGAGGAAATGCAAAGGCAGTTTCTTTTTTTAAGAGCCATTTAATTTCTTTCAGGGGTGGTGAGTAACCTGACCCTGAAAATGAATCCTTCCAACACCCTGAAATACAGAAACAAGTTGTAGTTCATTAGAGAAAATTTAGGCAAAGGAAAAGGGAAAACTGAAAGTCCTGTAGATTCTACCACCAGGAGATGAGTGCCGTCCGCATTTTGGTGGGACCCCATCGTTAGAGACTCACCCAGAGGGATGCATGTAGCCACCTGGGCTTGTCATCTGCCTCCCGCTTTTGGCTGTGACTGGACTCCTTGGAGCCTGGTTATCTGATCTTTGAGACAGGCAGGGAATCGGATCCCTTTGAGAATTCCATAAAGTTCAATGTTCAGATGGAAACTGAGCCTCTTAGCTGCAAACATGGCTCTACCTGAGGCTGGCCATCTGCTCTCCTTGTCCCACCCAAATATGGTTTCCGAACAAGCAGGTGATTCTGATCCCTGCTGCTCTGGGACGGAATAATAGAAGTAGAACCTTATACCTGGAGAGAAACTAGAGATCCTGCCCGATCTAGACGCCTCCCTTTAGGAAGATGGACGTGTAAACTATCCTGAACAACTAGTAATACACTCTTAAATGTTTTTTACTTTAGACATTCTAGAATTTTCTTCATCATCCCTGACAGTCAAAGTCCTATTCATGTCTGCTCCAAATCACTTATGCTTTCATTTAAAATTCATTCCTTCTTGATAGATTCTCCCTGTACATGGAGAACATTTATTCAGAAATGTTTACAGTGCTCTTACTTTGTGCCAGACATGGTACTTGGCTCAGGGGACTCAAAATTAATGGGACACTCTTCCTGTCCTTAACACGTTCACAGCCTTCCTACAGTTGATGACTGTAATCAGGTGATCCTTTAACGTGCTTTCCACTGTAGGAAAATTACCTCAGTTGCTCTCATCTTTCTTCCTAGGGCCTGTTTACCTATCATGACTGTTACTTATTGAACAGATAAATTTTTATTTTATTTTATAAAATGTGTTTTTATTGATTTCAGAGAGAGGAAGAGAAAGGGAGGGAGAGATAGAAACGTCAATGATGAGGGAGTCATTGATCAGCTGCTTCCTGCACGCCCCCGACTGGGGATCGAGCCCGAAACCTGAGGCATGTGCCCTGACCGGGAATCGAACCGTGACCTCCTGATTCATAGGTCAACACTCAACCGCTGAGCCACGCTGGCTGGGCAGGAAATGTTTAAAGGAAAGGAAAAACACACAATGGTCACAATACTGTAATTTTCAATTATTTTCCATTCTTTTATTTTACACCCTACTCACAAGCATCATGGTTTTTAAACAGTAGTAATAAGAGCATAAATAACAGTTAAGTATGTATTTACGCAAATCTTCGCTATGCTGACATGTTTATATTATATTTTGTAGCTTATTAAAATCATTTATTCTAGATGGTGAAAGTACGGACGTTTTCACTTTCTTCTTAAATTTTAAAAGTATTTTCCAAATCTTGACAATGATTATATGGTACGTTTCCAAAAGGTACGTTTTAAAAGCTATTGTACTCAAGTATTATTTAAAAATTTTATAGAGGTTTAATTTACGTATAGTGAAATGCAAAGCTCTTAAGATTACTGGTAGATGAGTTTTGACAACTGTATGTACCATGTAATCTTCTCCTCTATCAAGATAGAACATTTCATCACTCCAGGAAGTTCCTACTCTGCTCCTCAACCCAGAAATACAACCACTTTTCTGATTGTTATCACCATACATAGTGATTGTTTTGCCTCTATTAGAACATCCCATAAATGTAAACATAGACCATGTACTCTTTTGTGTCTGGCTTCTATTGCTGAGCATTATATTTTTTGAAATCCATCTATGTTGCTGTAAGCAGTTTGTTCCTCTATTGCTTTTTATTACTAATTAGTATTCCATTATATCATATTCCAATCTTTTTTACTTTTATCATCTTCATTATCATTTTAATAACTGAATAATATTCATTGATTATGCCATAACACCTATTCCTAGCTATTCATTTTTGTCATTCTTCCCCACATCCTTCCTGTCTCCTTTGCCTGCTGCCACAAGAAACTTTCCTGAGGTGGAATCCCCTGCCTTCCCAGAATGAATAATGGTACATTATGCCCTGGAATTTAATCAATATGGATAGTTTAGAGGTAACAGGAACAAATTTCCCAAGCTTATCTCTTTCCTGGAAAAATGAGTCACTGAGAATGCTAATTGATAAGCTGAACCATGTTTGCAAATCTCTGTATTGATTCATCTTGTTAGATATTAATTTTCAGCCCTTAGTAGTGTCCCTCAGTAATGCATTTTTTACTTTAAAGTTGAATGTAGTGTTTGAGTACCATCCAAATTTTTTTCAACACTGGAGTTGCAAAAGAACCTTGTGAAACATTCAACTCAGGAAGCTGTCTTTTGGTAGGGCCAAGGGCTGAATTAGGCTATGTTGGAATTTTGATAGCAAATCACCAATATGCTTAATACTGACAATATATAATAGAAGGAAAGAAATGCCTGTATTAATTCCCTAGGGCTGCATAACAAAGTAGCTCAACCTGGGTGACTTAAAATAATAGAAATTTATTTTCTCACAGTTCTGGAGCCCAGAAGTCCAAAATCAAGGATTGGCACAGCCACGATCCCTCTGAAACCTATGGGGTGGTTTGCTGGCAATCTTTTTTTTAAATCCTCACCTGAGGATATTTTTCCCATTGCTTTTCAGAGAGAGTGGAAAGGGATTGAGTTTGAAACTGAGGCCTGTGCCCTTGGCCAGAATTGAACCTGGGACTCTTCAGTTTGAGGACCAACGCTCTAACCACGGAGCCAACCAGCTAGGGCTGCTGACAATCTTTAGGTGTTCCTTGGCTTGCAGCTGCTTAACTCCTGTCTCTGCCTTAATTGTTATGTGTTGTCCTTCCTGTGTGTCTCTGTCTTCACATGCTGTTTTCTTGTAAGGACAACAGTCATATTGGATTAAGGAATCAACCTTCTCCAGTGTGACCTTATCTTAATTTAATTAATTACATCTACAATCGCCCTATTTCCAATAAGATCACATTCTGAAATACTGGGGCTTAGGACTTTAACATATTTTTTTGGTGGGGGGTACAATTCAACCCATAACAGTACCCAAGAAAGCTAATGTTATAGATTTCTACTTTCCTCTGTCAGTACATGAGGATAGTGACTAAGTAGCGGATGCTGACCATGTCTAGGAGGCAAAAGCCTGGTCTTCCAGCAGGTGAGGCCTCCGCTTTCTGGTACCTGAAGTCCTTGGATGGGCATGATGTGGGCCAGAGTGTCCCTGACAGGTCCAGACCAAGGGGGACTTGCTCATAGAGCTCAAGTCTGAGTTGCTAGAGAACTTCCTTAGGTATAAAAATCCTCCATGCCTTTAGATGGCCCATATTACATCGTTGGAGCAAATTAAATCATTAGAAAGCTTTAGATCTAGTCTACATGGTTTTTACCGCCTTGTACAAATGTTCTATTATGGATTTTTCTTTGGCATTATCCCATAGGCTTGCATTAGGGCTTTTAATAGAAATATATATAAGAATCTCACAACTATGTTTATTGTGGAGATGTTGTTGAGGTCATGTTGAATGGTGGTGATGGTGATGATGATAGCCACTGAGGGTGAGTTTGTTTTTAGAGTTTACTGTTTGCTGGGTTCTGTGCTAAGTGCTTTGCTATATTTTCCTGTTTCATTATTACAACAACTCTGTGGGTTGATATCATTAATCTTAACATACAGGTGAGAAAAATGAAACTTCCCCTAGACCAAACGACTAGAAAGGAAGGTTTGAAGCCAAGATTCAAACATGGTCTATCCCACTCCAATTTCTGTGTTCCTTCGCACCAAGCTTTACTACCTCTCACTATAGCCTATAAAAAAATAAAATAGAACCACAATACCATTATCATACCTAAAAATGTTAACACTGATTCCTTAAGGTCATCAATATCATCAGTGTTCAAATTTCCAATTGTCTCATAAATGTCACATTTTTTTACGGTTTTATTCAGGATCCAAATAAAGCTCACCCATTATAATTATTGATATGCCTTTTTAAAAAACATGGGGAGAGAGAGATAGAAACATCAGCGATGAGAGAGAGTCATTGATCGGCTGCCTTCTGCCTCCTACTGGGGATCGAGCCCCAACCCCAGCCTGTGCCCGGACTGAGAATCGAACCATGACCTCCTGGCTTATAGGTTGGCACTCAACCACTGAGCCACCGGCCGGGTTTGATATGCCTTTTTAATCTCTTTTTAGCTATAGTTCCCTTCCATCTCTCTCTTTTCTAATTCCCCTTGCAATTTATTTATCTACAACCCTGTGGTGTGGGTTAGCATTTCCTCTCTTCTAGTTACTGTAAAGTGGTATTTGGCTCTAGAGGTTTGATCAGATTTAGGTTTGATCCCCCCCCCCATTTTTGTGGGGGAAGGGCCTGGGGGGACAAGATTACTACATAGGTTGTTGTAAACCCTATTTTACCACTTGCCTTTTTGCCCATCAACTTGAGCCACACTGGCCTCTATCCTGCTGCTCTCATGAAAGCTAGTTCCAGCCTCAGGGCCTTTGGCTTAGCTGTTTCCTCTGCCCATAACACTTTCCCCCTGATCTTTGCATGTCAGCTGCTTCATGTCATTGGGATCTCAGCCTAAGTGTCACACTGCAGAGCAGCCCTTCCAGGACTTGTCTATCTGCTCTGTAGCACTTCTCACCACCAGGCACTTGGTGGAATATTTATTTGTTGCTTGTTTACTATCTGCCCTTCCCTCTCCTCCCTCCTGAACTAGAACATCAGCTTCTTGAAAGTCCCTACTATATTCCTAGCACCTAGAATAGTGTCTGGCCCATGGTAGGTGTTGAGCAAATTTTGCTGAATGAGATGCCTCTGTGTTGGTAAGATGCTGCCTCTCAGTCACCTCTTTCTCTATGCTCAGGAAACCAAAGGAGGCACCATCAAAGCTGCTTCAGGATTCAATGCCACTGAAGATGCCCAAACCCTGAGGAAAGCCATGAAAGGGATGGGTAAGTGTCCCGCTCCCTCATGTGTTATGTGTCACAGAGTCACACAGAGGGTGCTGTGTGTCCACTGGCAATTGTGAATAGGTCTCACTCTAAGAAAACACAGTGGGAACAAGTTGGCTTTTCAGGACAAATTAAATGGAAGGGCCTTAATTCTTCTTTTACTACAGAATTTTTAATTTAATACTCTGATCCTGTACTTTCCCAATTATTTAAATCTGTTTTGCATTACAACATTTTGAATCTATATATAAGTATTTAGAAATGAATCTGTTCTCCAGTTAGTGCTAGATGTGTGTAGCGCCATAGGGTTTGCAAACCACTTTCACAAATCTCTCGATGGATATATCCAGTGACCCTGTGATTTACTGAAAGCAGCTATTGCTACTGTCATTTTTGCCCCATTTTACAAATGTGAAGCTGAGACCCAGAGAAACTAAGTGACATAGTAAACAGAACTGAGCCGTGAGTCACACTCAGCAGAGCCCAGTGCCAAGCTTGGGCTTGCCCACTCTAAGGTCACATTCTTTCCCTTGAGTCCCTCTGCCTGTTGCTGCAACAGGCACAGCTGTGCAGTACCAACGTGCAGTGTATGGGATTTCATGAGAAGGCTGTGTGTACACAACCATAAGGCTTGCCTTCCAGTGCACTACCCTCCATTTAGCTCCCTGAGGGCAAAGGCTTCCAGTCAGGTGAGCACAGTCATGCGGGTGCGCTGCAGGCTACCCTGGTCTTGGTCCTTGCCTGGGTAAGCATTTGGCCAGAGAAGTGCTCCCTAGTTGTAGCTGCTATTTAGAATCTCCTTGAGATTTAGATAAAAATCTTGACTATGAGGCCTTAGTTTCCAGTTTTTCTAAGAAGAGTTCATTTTACTTAGCCCCAATGCTCCTAACAGCAACAGCAGCGATAACAATAATAGTGAACCTTTATTAAGCTCTACTGTGTGCCAGGTACAGTGTATTACATGGATTAACTGTTTTAATCCTGATAACAGTTTTACTGATGAGAAAGTTGAGATTTAGAGAGGTTTGCTAACTTGCCCAAGATCTCAGAACTAGTTAGTGTTAGAGTCAGGATTCTAGGCAATTCCAGGTAGTCTGACTCCAGAGCTGGAGTTTCAGCCACTGTGCTGTTGTGCTGCCCAGCTCTGGACAGAATATTGTTCTAAATCTATGTATTTATCTCATTTTCTGTTTTTCATAAATAAAATGGAAAATGTACTTGGCCCACTCTTTTTTTCAGGTTTATCCTGATTCTTTGATATATGTCAAGAACACCATAATTCAGAACATGGACCATATGATATTCAGAATTGTCAAAATCAGAGTCAGGAGACATTTGACAGAGCCAGTGCTTTTCAGTGCCTGCTGTGTGGGGGCCAGTGCAAGTTGGATGGTTGGAGGAGACAAAGGTTATAAAACCTAGTCCTTGTGGTCAACTACTCCATGGATACTAGGTGGCTAAGGCAAATACAGAAATAGCTATGACCAGTTCATAATATGATAGCAATAGGAGGGGCCCAAATAAGATCTTATTAGGGTTCAGAGAGGGGTTTGGGGGTATCAGGCAAAACTTCTTAGAGAATATGGAATTTGAGGTGGGCCTTGGGAAATGAGTTGTTTTAATAAACAGAGCTAAGAGAGAATGTGTTTCAGGTGAATGGAATAGTATGAGCAAAGACATGGGATGAGTTTAAGGATCATCCCATTTTCCAGTTTAGCTGAGGCTTAAGGGAGTCTTAGTGAATATATGGAAAGGTGGCTTGTAGCAGGAGGTACTTGCAAAGCAGGAGTTGGCTGGTTGGGAACTTTCTGAGAAGGGAAGTCCTAGAGTGCTACTGAGAAGGTCACCTATAGAATCACAGACATGGGGGGTAGGATGGCCCAAAGACATTGACCAAGAAACAACCAATGCCAGAATCATGGTGCCAA